AGTGGGAAGTTTACCCAAAACAATGGGGATTAAAAGGTCACCGTAGGTGTCTTGTTTCTTTCCTAACGCCTCGAGACCTCGAATATGATTTTCCATGCTATCGTAAAATTGGCGCAAGGTAGACACTGAATTTGAAGGGCATGGTAGATCTAACAAGGCTTGCATGTGTGCGTTAGTTATCTTGTGGGGTTGACCAAATCTCTGTTCCAAAATTGCAATACATTGCGCGTAGTTTGACTCTGTAAGCGGTAAACCTTCGATTGATTGCGCGGCTTCACCTGACACTTGAGCTTTGAGATATGTAATTTTTTGTATGTCGCTTAGGCTGGAGTTTTCATGTATAGCGACCTTATAAGAGTCCCAAAAGGTTTGCCATTTTAACACGTTGCCGCTAAATACTGGCAGTGCTAACTTTGGTAATCTATGACTATTTGTATTATGCGATTGTGGCGGCGTACTTTGAGTAGGAAAAACGTGTCCGTTTTGTTGTGTTGTGGTAGCCATAGGGCTAGCTAACGAATTACTATGGATTGTACTTTGATTGATAAAGAATTCTATGGTATACCTCTTTTTAGTTAGTTCCGTTAAATAGTCGTCGGCTTCAACGATCTCCGTCTCTAAGCCCTTTTCGTCTTCGATTAGATCTGATACAGTTTCATCCAACTTTCGAAGTAATTCGATTTTCGCGTCGTACGTTGCCAGAATGACCCGTAGTTTCTCAATATTAACTTCGTTCGTTTCACCGTTTATGAGTAGTTCAGCTTCGTTCCAAATTTTAGTTGCTTGCGCACGTTGAGCGCCACGTTTTATCCTTGCGCGTTTTAAACCGTCCATCCTGGTCACGGCACCAATGTCTCGTTCGTCACTCGAAATAAGCTATAGTGTTGTCTTGCGTTGTGTTAACTTGTCTACGACGATAACGAGATCTAATGTAGCGTAGGTTCTTTCGATAGAATCAAGGACGATCTACACCATAGTTTGAATATGTATTATTTACACTAACACAAGCTCAAAGGCCAGTGCGAAAACTATATACAACAAAAGGTGATTATCAAATTATCCTGAATGTCCCAGTTATCCTAGTGCAAGTGTAATTCTATCCTAGTTCAATTAACTAACCGTGTTCGATATAAGACATTAATAATGAACTGTTTATATTAGAATGCGTGCAAGATATCTATAATGTTCAAAGTACTGTCAATTCTCGACAATGCCTGCGACTGTATCATTATGCCTCTACTTGCCGCCGAAATACCGGCAAAGTTGAACTCAAGTCAACTTTCCCGGCCTACCGCCGATGTAACTGTGGCACTGGAGGCAATCGGCGAACAAATGTTCACATAATTTACGTTTTAAAGCTACCATCGGCATCGTCGCCGGTACGTCGCAGGCATATATGTGAACCAGGCTTAAAGCGTATAAAGTTCAAACTTCAAAATGTATGGTTTTCATTTGCCTAATACAATAACAATAACTAATTTTATTAGCATCCCATATATTATACGTTCGTATATGGTATTGCCTTACATTATATTATTTACTAACAACGAGTGAATATTACACCGCAAAGCTTTTCGCGTGGATTATATTTCCCGCAGTACTAAAATTTGCGCACCCAGCTCTGCGCGAATTCCTGCAGTATTGTTCGAATTTTAGTACAAATAAACATTTTTCCTAATTGCCGTTGTGCTGCTGTTTCAAGATGATCTACAAATAAACATTTTCCCTATAACTTGGAGATAATCTATATACAGTACAGAAGATATTTCAGTTTCCTGACTGCCATAAGTTGTCCTGCTGTTTCGGGATGATCTATATATGCTGCTGCTTAGCCAGATAAACATTGTCCCTAACTGTCGTTGGGCCGCTGTTTCAAGATGATGTACATTTGAAAACTTTCGAACTACTGTTATCTTACTTTTTCAAGATAATCTGTTGTTCGAAGTGGTATGTTGATGAATAAATTTTGTAACTTTTGTGCGTTTTTTTCTTATTTTGGTGTGAAAAACAGCCACTTTTCTACAAATTTTAAATCTAATTTCGATGCTCAGAATGCAGGAAATGGTACTTGCGGGCTTCAAATTTCAAAAATTTTCTGGGGGGCCATGCCCCCAAACCCTCCTAGGTAGGGCGTGGCCTTCGGCCCCGCATGTTGATTTCATCCAAAATGCTACGGTCAGATTGAGACGCTGAATCCGCCCCTGCAGGGCCTTAAAGCGCTGGTGTCAATTTGTCCCGCGGTAACGTTATGAAAACAAAAATTGTGCATGTCATTTACTCATTTCACTTTATAATGAAATACGCAGAATCGACAATCGATTCCTCTTATTTTCGGATAAATACGCCAAATTGATAACCTTTCAAAAATGCAAACATGTAAACCTCATGGCTCATACAGTATTTTACAAAATGCAGCATAAGCACTGACTGTAAGCAAACCTTATATATTTAGATAAATATAAAATAAATACAAAATTCACAAATATAGGATTGGTCTTGGCCATTGGGTGACTTTATAATTGCTTGGGACTATCACATTGAATTTATTGTAATTGTGCATATGATAGAAGTTATCATTAATATAATTAAGTTGGAGTGGGGGAGGGGGGGGGGGAGAAATTGTAAGAGGAGGGGCAAAATTCCTGGGACACTAGTATCCACAGCTTGATGGGATGCTTAGTAATGCTAGATATTTTATCTCACACAATTTAGCCAAAAGTGAATGCAGTTGTTGGTACACCACCAAAGTATTTTTTGTTGATATTGAAGAAAACCATCCAAGCTATAAGTCTACTATCGACCTGTTAGAACAACATTGTTGCAGTATTCACCAGTTTTTGTCAAAGGACGTAACCCATATAGTGAGTCTTCAGAAGACTCTCTCCGGAAGTAATAAACCATTTATAACCCGGATGAAACACACCCGAGCATACAAACTGGTCTGTTCTTCAAATGAAAAGAATACTGATCACTTCAAAAGTGGTGATTTTATAGGCAAAAGCGGAATAACAATTCTATCACCAACTTGTTTGGCACACTACTCAGATAACTGCCAAGAAGAAAAACATACCCATTCCAAAATGACAGTTTCAAAAAGTTATATGTCTGACATTGTTGTAAGAAAGTTAATCCCACCATTTCTGAAAGTTGAAGACAGCAGTGGATGTTACAGGCCACAAGTTTTGGAGATGGATGAATGGCCAAAACTTCATTTTCATGGCCATGACTCTCCATTTTATAACCCAACAAAAAGAACTTCCAAGAAACATCTACAAAAGAGCATTTGTGAATTATGCTCTACTTCATATTATAATCAGTATAGTATCTTCATATTATTAGTATAGTATCAAACGATCGTATCACCAGGCGTGCTACAACTAACAGTGGAACATTAAAACTTTCCAGAGTTAACACTTTAACTTTTCAGAACAGTTTTTATAATAGAGCTCCCAGAATATATTACTGTCGGCCAATTCAAATCTTACCTGTTAACTTATTATGAAGCAATGACTAAAGAAATATATAACATTAATGCTCCACAAACATTTAAAAGTATATGTGTCAAGTGTCACTCGTGTCGTCCGTTGTCCAGTCTTGTGGATAAAATGTGTTGTAAATAATGTAATGTTGGTTTTTTTTGTTTGTTTTTTATATATACATATATACATATTATTAGGGACCCTGTAAATGGAGCATTAAGCTCTGTAGGGTTAACCTGTCATTTGTGACTAAGTTTGTAAAAAAAAAAAAATAAAAAAAAATCAAAAGGGACACCTTAAGAGTTCTGAGCACCAAAACAATGCCAAAAATGATTTGCTATTTGCATCACTTGATAAGGCAATTGCCGAAGGGACTTCAGTTTATAATTTTCTTAAAAAACATGTTAAAATGAGTTGAATGTAGAATAGCAACATAAGCAATGGGATCCTACAAAGTCAATTGAGTTTTCAAGAGCATTTTGAAAATAGATTTCCTTCGTTCTATTAAGTACAAGCTAAAGTCAATTTATTATGTATATTGTACTATTTCTATTTTTGGTTACTTAGGTGGGAAAAGGCATATCCACAATAATTTTTGGAACATTATCACAACAACATGTTCTCTCTGGAATGTTTAAAAAGTATTTCATATAAAGATGTGGAAGCAACACAAAGTAAATACCTTTCCCTAAGCAGTGAAGTTGATAAGCGGAATTTTATCTTAACTTGCTTGAGAGATCACACCAGCTGTCAAAGAAAAGGTCCAGGCATTGTGGGTGAGAAAACAAATTTCTTGGTGAAAGGCAAATCAGTATGTCAAAAGGCTTGGTTAATTGTCCATGGTATTAATCCTAAAAGATTTGGCAGAATTGTTAAAGGATTTGAGACAGGCTCCGAGTTTTATCAACACGGCAACAAACTAAAGTTAAGGACAGCAGTAAAAACTGCTGATTGTTCAGCATGGATAAGTTTTCTGGTCAATGCTATTGCGGATCAACAACCAGACACTGGCAAAATTCACTTGCCATCCTGTTTCACAAAACTTAGCTTGTACAGGAAAATGTGTGAGGAGCTAAATAATAGTGAGAATGTTGTGAGCAAATCACAATTCTACAGCATAATGGCAAAGCAGTTTGCACAAGTTGTAATTCCAAAGGTGAGGCATGACTTTTAACTCAGTATTAATTGATTGGTCACTGCATTAGTTGTCAAAAGTTAGGAAAATATAGTACATACAGGTGAATGTAATTGTTATGGGAATCACTGAGATAAAATACAATAAAAGAGTAACTTCAAAATTTTTATTTTAATGAATCGCTCGATGATTTGACTAGACCTGTCCTGATTATGAGCACAATCTAGTCGAAACATTGATTCATTAAGCCAGGCCTGCAAATAATTTTACTTGGAAGGTCAAATATAGCGTTTATATTTTTAAAAATGGTGTTAAATAAACAATCAGGTCGGTCAAACAATCTGCTTATGTGTCTTGTTAACCCATTGAGCAGCAAATTATGCACCAAATGTTCTCGACCGGTGCTACTTTACTCTTTTACTCTGTCCATCGTCAAACGATTTTCCTCATCAACCTTGGGGAGTCTGGTGCTTTTAATTAATGGGTTAAATGAACATGTGAATGTAAGTAAGCATTATATGATTGATAAATATTCCTAACGAGAAGTCTATTAAAATTTTCTTTCAAGGAAAACCGGTTCACAAAGTGTGATTCATGCACAGATTACAAAGGAGCTCTGGAGTCGACGATGGACAAGATTAAAAGAAAAGAAATTTAAGACCTTCTCCAGCAGCACATCAAGCTTGTAATGTATGTATAGTATGTTTCTTAAAACCCTAGTAATAAATAATGGGTTTCTGCTAAATAATATTTATACCCTACAGTAGGATGGGATGGGAGATTCTTATGTCGTATACAAAAATCCTGTAGCCCTCCCCCCTTTTGATGAACTCAATGTTGAAGACCCCCCCCCCATCCTATAATATAATGAAGAATTTATACCCCTCATTCCCTGTGCAATACTGTATGTTTAGAAAAAGGTCATCAATACATAAACGTCAGACTTGCACAGGACTCTCTGCAAATATCACTTTTTAAAGACTCCACTTGGTCAATGGTCATTTGCCTATAGAGCTGTCCTCATTTAGAACAATTTAGATAAAAGCCTGAATGATAGCGCTTCCCTTAAAATCTTTAAGACAGCATTTAAAAAAACATTTGCTTGCCAGGGAGATTATTAAACATTGTGCATGGTCATAAATAATTGCAAATAATTTCTTAAAAACCTTTTCAGGGAGAAATTTATTAAATTTAAAATGTTGTATATGTAGACTGGTGCTACAATATTTTCAGTTATTTTTGTACCCTCCCCCCCACCCACAAGAGTAAAAAAAGCAAGTACCCTCTCCCATAGAACAAGATGAACTTTACATGACCCCCCCCCTCAATTTCTTCCACCCAGCCTTGAGTATAAATAATGAACGGTCTTAAGTATCTGTTTGTGCTAATCCAGTTAAGCCGGTTACAGACGAGCAAGTTTTTATGTGACAAGTTTTTATGTGACAAGTTTTATTTGCACGTCTGTATGCGCAACTTTGACAATTTTTTCCATGACAAGTGCACTTGTTCAAAAGCTAGCTAGCATGCTAGCTTTTTCGTCTGTATCAGTCGGCAAAGAAAACCTGTCAAAGTAATCTGAGCATTTGATGTGATTGGCCAGCGCTCATGTTGTCTGTAATTATTGCACATGTACTATTACTGTACATTGACCAATAATAAATTGTCAATTAAAGTAAACTTGTTGACACATTCACACCAGTAAATAAAACTTGTCATGTGAAAACTTGTCATCAGGCTTTTAGCCAGAAGGGTGTCCTGGCATCCTGGGATGCCCAGAAACAAAAAATGGATGTCTTTGGACGCCCAAATTCTGGGGGGAAAGGGAAATTATTTTCAATGATTCCCCTAAGTTTAATATATCTGAAACAAAATAGCTTCAATTCTCATAATTATTATTATACATTAGTTTGACATTTTGATCAATTTGATTGTGTACCTGACTGAATGAAAATGTCATAGCGGCACAATCTCAGTACTCACAAAGCCAAGTGTGTTTGAAAAATTTCGACCGAGCTTGGAACAGATACTGATATGAAGTAACGTAAACTTCAAAGGTTTTCCAGAGGAACGTTTTCTCGAACCCCCCCCCCTTTTACTGTGGATGTATCGTTGTACCAAAATTGGACGCCCTTTTTTAGGATCCTGGCTAAAAGCCTGCTTGTCATATAAAATTTGTTACATATACACATTGTGCACTTGCCAAATAAAACTTGTCACACAAAAACTTGTCATAGAAAACTTGCTCGTCTGTAACCAGCTTTTGTGTGTCTTTGCATACTGTATATAATAACTAAGTGATATACAACCATTACTGTATTTTATTTCTTCATTCTTTCCCAGGAATGAGCGGGAGAAATATCACTTGCACCGCTACAAGGCAAAGAGGGACCCATCCAGATACCTCACAATAATTCTAGATGGAATGGACCAGTCTTGCAGAGACTCCGGACCCACTTGGTTGGCGTTATTGCTCATAGTGGCTTATACCCAATGGGGAAGGCATTGTTTGGATACTTTGATCTGTTTCAGTGGCCACATGACAGTAACCTGACCATGAACATTATTCTTTTCATCTTGGGGACACTGAACACAGAGTTGGCATACCACCAGTTTTAAACTTACAACTTGACAACTGTTGGCGGGAAAACAAGAACAAGCATGTCTTTACCTCATTGTCTCTCTTGGTGGAATGGTCTGTCTTCGATAAGGTATCGTATATAATTATGAATGCACTTTAATGTAAAATCTTCCATTTATGTAGCAATTTCTTTTGTGGATGTCTAAGAGGTTAAACAAGTTTCATGTCATATTTTGATACTTGTGTTTACTGTACTATCCCGGTAAATTGCAACCTGTTCATATGAGTTCATTGGTTGAGAGGATCTGTTTTATTTGCCCTACTAATAAGAAAAGAGCACAGGAAAAGTTAAGAATTAACCCAATGAGCCGCAATGGGCCTTTTTTTACTTGTTTAACGCCAGATGATTTTACTCATCAATGAGGAAGCACTGCAGCAGCTCAATGGGTTAATTGATAGTTAGTGTATACCTGTATATAATTAAAATTGTCCCAATTTTCTTGTTACAGATTAAAGAAAACTTCCTTCCTGTTGGCCATACCCATGAGGATATTGATGCTCTTTTTGGACTGTTTTCTAAGCATCTACGGTTACAAGACGTGTACACGTTTGATGGTTGGTTTGCACTTTATTTTCATTTTTAAAGTAATACCGTAAACCTCTGAATATAAGCCTGGCCCCCGCGAATATAAGCTCCCCTCATGTACAGGGTGTTAGCCAGAAAAAAGTTTTGTCCGTTAAACATAAACTGGGAAAACCAATTAAAGATCCTTGTGTAGGAATAAATAGTGCTTTTTCCAATATGTTTTCTCTTGTATAAGCCCATCAAAAGTTGCTCATGTAAGAATATAAGCCCAGGGAAAATAGTCAGAGGTTTGTGGTATATGAAGTTATCAACCCTGGGAGTAGAAATGTACCCACATGCACCTCAATTTATCCTTTACTCTGTACATATAAGAGTCTTTCTAACTTGAAATATTATTTTTCTATTAGTTCTTTGTGAATCTTTTGAAGACTGCACAACAAAACCTAGACCTCGATCTACCAAACCTCAGAAGATGTTTGACGTCAGAGAATGGTTGAATGCTCATAGCCACAATATCCATCAACATGTCAAGCCACATTGTTTCAAATTTGTGCGAAATGAAAAGGGTGAAGCAGTCATGTTTTACCGGAAATGGAGTGGTGAAAACTGGATGGGCCCAGTGCGAATATTAAAGGTTTGTGTATATTATAAAATAATCTGTAACTACCAGTCAATATCTTATTGGTACTAATTAACTGGCAGCATTTACTTTATATTAATTGATGGTGGTGGGGCTTGGTAGTCCGGTGGTAAGTTCCTGCAAAGTAAGTTAAGTTCCATTACTAAGTAATACTTGTTTTTTAAAAAAATTCTAATTTTTAACCTTCCTTCAAGTTAGGTTGGACCTGGTTGGTTAGAGCTTGCCCATTGGGGTTGTGTTTGATTTAATTTTTAAAAAATAACTCATGATAACCGGACAATTAGTACTTTTTGCTACTTGACCGGCTGCCAGTCACATACTCACAGGCTTTATAATAACCACAGGTGAAAGGAGTCAGGCTATAAAATCTTGTACGTTTGTACATATGATTGTTATTAAATAAAGCATACTCACGTGTAAGCTGCCACAATTTGTAAACGAGTTAGACTGTAATCTGTTTATTCAACTGCTGTGGTATTGCAAAATCTTTATTTATAGCCAAGAAATGTTATCAGTAACAGTTCAGTCTCCCAATATTCAAAGAAACCATTTTAATTTTATATATAATATTTCATATTCTGTAACCATACTAATACAGACCTCTCAACTTTGCAGAGAAGTTAAGAGTGAGATTGAGAAATTATTTCGCCAAAAAAATTTCGGTCAGTGTACCATTTTAGGGGTCAAAAAAATTTTCCGGACAACAAATATTTTTCCGAACATACACAAAATTTTCGAAAAATCACAAAATTTGCCAAAAAATTGACTTAATTTTAGACAAAATTTACAGAATTTGTCACATTTCTTTTATTGCAACCCAAAATTGCCCGACTGTTGATCGAATATTGCCCGACTGCCCAAAAAACTCGCCCGGTACGCCTATGCGGATATACCAAAATTTTTATGCGTTAGATTTACTAAACGTGGCGTGAGAGAGAGCGTGAGACTGAAGCGAATTGCGTGAGACTCACGTCGAATGCGTGAGAATTGAGAGGTCTGGCGTGAGAGCGTGAGACTGAAGCGAATTGCGTGAGACTCACGCCGAATGCGTGAGAGTTGAGAGGTCTGCTAATACTGATCAGTAAATTTCCTTTCTAATCCCAACTGTTTCGCGAGTTCTTGAGCAGTTTAGGTCCAAGGTACTTGGGGACATTTATATTGATTTTAGTTGATAACTGTTTTATACGATTCGTTTCCATATTTTTACAGTATATTTAAAAGACAGCCATTGCCGCCATTTTGAAATTCGCATAATTTCACAGTGGCTTCCACTCTAAAAATCATAAAAATTATAGAACTATAAATATTTAAAATTTAACTATATTAGCGTCTTTATAAACGTTGAACAATTGTTTGTGCATGATAACTGATATTGGTCTTTTTGCATTCTTGTTATCGATTAGGGTTGTCCTGAAGATGCACCTGGTTTGCTTCCACCAGATTATACGAAAGCAGACATTCCAAAATTGAGAGAAGATCTGCGCAAGTGGGAGTCAGTTATGACTGCATCATCAAAAGCTTGGTGGAGAGAGTTCTTGGGCTGTATTGAGATTGAGAATGAAACAACAACAGAGGACACGTGTTGTATCCTCGACTTAAAGCAAAATTTGAAGAGACCTGCTGCTACTCAGTCAGAAGAAACCCCACCGAGAGTCAACATGCAATTTAGAGAGAAAGAACTTGCACCCCTTGATGAGGTAAATGATTGTTTGCGGTATTAGTACTGGGTGTTCCGTGTACGTGTCAAATTTGTGAATTTGAGAGGTCCATAGGTCCCTTACAATTGTTTTCAGTGGCGCTGTGGCGGGGGGGGGGGGCATGCCCCCCTATCGTCAGAAAATTGTTAATGTTGTCGGAATCTTAGTGCTGAAGAATCGAAAACAGTGCTACTAAAATCGGGAAAAATGCTACAAAAGCAATTGTAATGTTATTGTCTGGAAAAAATTTTCACTGAAAAAGTTGTCGACAGGGGTGGGGGGGGGTAGTTTGTCGGAAAAGTACTGCCCTTGCCCCCCCCCAAAAAAAAAAAAACAAATTGGGTCTTACAGCACCACTGATTATTTTGGAACATTTTGCCTTTTTTATTAGATATATACTGGTGCTTACCAGCCTCCGAGAACAAGAGGAATTCAGTTGGTTGATGATATTCTTATGGCATTGGCTCCTGGTGTTTTTGTTGCAGTATATTTAAGCAACTAGAAGAAAATGCCTGTCATTGGAAAAGTGGTGGAGGTGTTAGAGGAGGAATTTACTATTCATTATTGGAAAGGTTCATACGCAAAGCCATGGGAACCTCATCTGCTAAAAAATGGTAAGGAGATTACTCCTTGGAGTGATGTTTTGCCAAAACAATCCATTATCATATGTGATTTCCACCTAGATAGTGAAAATAAACTTCTGGAGAATACCAGGAAATATTTAAAACGTTGGTACCAAGAGGAACGTGCACGAACATAAGGTTATTTAACCGGACATGAAATTTAACTTTTTTAGCAGGATCCATGAGGGATACCAGACTTTTCAATCTGCTACATATATGCAGGTCTGAAAGCTGCTGTAGTATCAAATCTTCCAAACACCTTTGGATAAACATTAATCTCCTTATCTTTAATTAACCCATTAAGTGGCAAAGTGCCCCACTGCGCAAGGCTCAATTTTTACCACCAGGCGAATAACAACTTGTCAAGGGTTAGACTCTAAATATCTTGCAGCTTAATGGTTTAATTAAAGCTGCTTTCAAATCAATGGTATAAAACAGCAGAAAGGACATACTGTAGACTCGTACAGTATTTTGCACATGCAAGGAACACCTGAATTAGGCAATGTAATTATAGCTGCAAATGAAACTCACTGAAAATGCAAACAAAATGATGGAATTTTTGCCAGACAAATGCAATGTTATACCTCAATATTTTCTAGCTATTTTCAATATTTTCTAAGTATTTTGTTGGATACTAATCTCATGATATTTAGTATCTAAAATCTAGTACTGCTATCCTGTGATATCTCGATATCCATAATGATTAATGTATGATAAGATACTGATTGATTTGCATCCAAATGTAAACTTACTATTAAATGAATAATTAGATGACTATTAAATTTCCTGCCATCTGATTGACAAGGATTGAAGTCACCTGGATGTCTTTTTAAAAGTTTTGGAATTATTGTAATATGTTTCGAATGCTTTTTTCCATTTTTTTAAAAATTTATACCAACTGAAAACACTTAGTTGCTGAAGGCAAGTTGATTACAAGGCTTTAGCCTATATTCACTTTGCTTTCACTCTCCAGCTCAGTGAATACAGGGTTGCAATCACAGCTCGCCTTTAAACCCCATTTAGCTTTCTTCACCGTAATGAAATATTCCGTTAATATTAATTGATTTCAGATTTTCGGGGTATCATTTAGCTTTCTTTACTGTAAATATTCCGTTTATGTTCATAATGATTTCAGATTTTCAGGGTTCGGAAATTCTGAACCCCTTGTAGCTTTCTTCGCTGTAAGTATTCCGCTTATATTCATTGAATTCAGATTTTCAGTGTTCAGAAATTCTGAACCCCTTGTAGCTTTATTCGCTGTAAATATTCCGCTTATATTCATTGATTTCAGATTTTCAGGTTCAGAAATTCTGAACCCCCTCTAGCTTTCTTCGCCGTAAATATTCCGCTTATATTCATTGATTTCAGATTTTCAGGGTTCAGAAATTCTGAACCCCTTGTAGCTTTCTTCGCTGTAAATATTCCGCTTATATTCATTGATTTCATATTTTCAGAGTTCAGAAATTCTGAACCCCTTGTAGCTTTTTTCGCTGTAAATATTCCGCTTATATTCATTGATTTCAGATTTTCAGGGTTCAGAAATTCTGAACCCCTTGTAGCTTTCTTCGCTGTAAATATTCCGCTTATATTCATTGATTTCAGGGTTCAGAAATTCTGAACCTCTTGTAGCTTTCTTTGCTGTAAATATTCCGCTTATACTCCTTTATTTCAGATTTTCAGTGTTCAGAAATTCTGAACCCCTTGTAGCTTTATTCGCTGTAAATATTCCGCTCATATTCATTGATTTCAGATTTTCAGGGTTCAGAAATTCTGAACCTCCTGTAGCTTTCTTCGCTGTAAATATTCCGCTTATATTCATTGATTTCAGGGTTCAGAAATTCTGAACCCCTTGTAGCTTTCTTCGCCGTTAATATTACGCTTATATTCATTGATTTTAGATTTTCAGGGTTCAGAAATTCTGAACCTTTTCATAGCTTCCAGCGATCAATATTCTGTTATCCAACCGAAATTGCCTAAAACCTTGTTTTTATCACGTCTTTGCGGAAAAATAGTGGAATACAAATATTCCGCATATTGCAACCACCAAACCGATATTTGCGCTGTGAAGTCAACTTTTTCTGGCTGATTTCCTGTTTTCTGCGGATATTTGTAATTGGACGCAAAATTTACTTTAAAATATGAAATATACGTTAACAAATACGATTTTTTTTCGCTTTTAATATTTTTAACCGGATTTTGCGAAAGTAGTGTAGGAAGAAAATCCACATTCCTTGGTTTTTAGGTCAATTTTTGAGCAATTATTTTTTAATTTGCACATATTTTGGGAAACTGTCAAGATTTTGCGGAAAAAAAGAGAAATTCCGCATAATTTAAAACAAACACGCGAAATCGCGTACTTTGGAAAATCCCAATTTAGTTTGGAACACGTTGTAGTCTTCAAAGTGGACGGGTATTCTGCAGTCAGTTCCATAGGGCCTACGCAGGTTATTAAATACCGGAATAGGCCGAATAGCAAGTAATATTAAACTGTGAATTTCGTTTCACGTGAATCTACTTGTTTTTCGTGTGAAAAGATGAAATACTAGTTTACATGCATGAATGCATTTTGTGGAGGGGAAACGGGGCCCTCCTAAAACTGAACATTAACCCCCAACCACGAAGCTAACATTAAATCTAACCTTAATATTATAACCCTGGTTTTATCAACAGTCCTTACTGTTTTACATTTACTTGTGGCGAAAAAATGAGGAATTTCCGTTTTATATCGTCGAAAATGACAACAACGGAACGTGCCGAAGTCACGAAGAAAACACCGCTCTTCAACATTGAACAAAAAGCACTATGTGTCTTTGTCTTTAAAACATTTCAACCGTTCGAAAAAAATAGGTATTAAAGTCCAGGTATTCTTAATGATTTTGAGCTTTTAGTCCTTGCTTGTATGCTAAAACGGGAAAAAGTGGATGTTTTTGCATTTTGGAATGAGAATTTACATCCGGACAACGACGTTTTCGCCAACCAGAGAGCGTTTTTGCCCCATTAGGAAGCTGCTTCAATTTGTCTCTCGATTTTTCCCGCAATGCCCACTTTATCTTACACTTACCCAAGCTTAGCTAGCAAGCATACTTGACGTACCATGAGCCGTAGGAACCGGGGGACAATATATATATATATATATATATATATATATATATATATATATATATATATATATATATATATATATATATATATATATATATATATATATATACGACAATGACCAAAACTTGCCTTAGCCAACAGCACATAATATTACGACAAAGAGATGGCTACGTATCGAAGAATTTATTAAAGATGACTAAAGTAAAGTATACAAATAATAAATTTTCGGCCACTTGACACGGCCTTCCTCAGAATAAAAACTAAGTTACAGCACATGGCATTTATACTATTTAGCATGCTAAGTAATTAACCTAATCCTATTGTTGTACAAAATCATGCGTAGAGTTAAGTCCTCTTCGATTAGTCAATAGCATACCAATCCAAAAATTTTCACATTCCCTTAGGTTGCCCTGGCGCCGATCAATTAGCATGAATTTCAACAATGAATAATCAGCACCATGACAATTCAGAAAATGGTTAACAATACCACAGGTTCTCTTATTACGTTTGATGTGAGACTTGTAATTAGCGAGTCGGGTCTTAAAATTGACAGTAGAACCCACTCCTTGCAAATTGCAAGTAACACAACTAGCAAGATAAACAACATTATCGGAGGTGCAAGTAAGATCTTTACCAATCTGAAATACTCTTTTAGAAACTGTGGAACTAAAGGTGGAACCTTCTTCTAAAACGTTTTTACAACAGTCACATCGCTTGGCTTTACACCTAAAACAGCCTGTAGTTTCCCTATACGACCGGCCAACAATTCTTTTAAGTTGGCATTACGTTTATATGCCACACAAATGGCTCCCTCTGGTAAAACCTCAATGGCCTTTTCATCGTTACAAATAATTTCTCTATGATGTTTATTTAAGATCTTACGGATATCTGGTCCTCTGGGATTGTATTTGGTCGAAAAAATACATAAATTCCTATTATCTTTTTTCTTCTTTTTCCTGGCTTCATGCCTACTAATAGCTGCAACCTCCTCAAATATATTTTTAACATGCTGTTTATCATGCCCACTGGCTATCAAATAATTAGCATACTCATTACATTATGCTAATTATTTG